GTCAGTTTCAGCAGCGGCTGAATCGGGGACACCTGGGGTACAATATGTACCAGTTCCGACTTACATACAAATTTAACTTAAGAACAAACCTACAGTCCCTATATTGTATGTAACCCAGGGACTGCCTGTAAAAGATATTTTGATTGTTCGCAAGAAAGGAAGATGCTCAGAAAAGAGGCAAGCATTCTGACTAAAGTTTGTATCTAATCAAATCCGCAAACTGAGCACGCAGAGAAATTCACCCCTCATATCTTATTCTAATGGCTAAAGTTTGGCCCTCTTACAGTCTGTGGTGCCTGAGTATTTGTTCAGATAGGCACTCTCTCAGGCCTAGGATTCCAGTTGTGAGTAGCAGTATGTGATGTAAGAACTAAAGAGCCTTTGCTAAATTAGTTTCTACTGGGATGGTGGAAAATGAGTTGAAGTGGTGCATAAAACCAATGCACGTTTTATTTTTGCATACCCACTGATATAAATTATTAGAAGATTCATCTGGCATTGCTTAGGTCCTTCAGGAAGGCGTCCGGCAGTATGGGGAGTGAAGGAGTCAGGGCAGGGACTTGAGGATGTAGGAGGCTCAGGATAGGAGGCTGAGAGTGTTGAGGTATAAAGGAGTCAGGGCAGGAAGTTAGGGGGTCAGGGCTGGGAGCTGGGAGCTTTTGTGTGGCTCCTGGCTGGGGATGGGGGGATATAGGAGTCAGGACAGATGGGAGGGGATATTCAGGGCAGGGGATGAGGGCAGGCAGGGTCAGTACTTCCAGATCACTGGCTGCTTCCCTGGGCCAGGCCAGGATGGGTGAGTGTGCTTGCTTGCTGCCCCCTCTGGTCATTCTGCAGTATAATTGTCCACGCTATGACAGCCCTTCCTTTCAGTTTGATGAGAAGCAATTGTGTTCCATGCACATTCCATTGTACTGCCCCAACGAAACCCTGATCTAGCTTTAAGTTATGATAAGAGGAAGCTGCATATCAAATGTGGTGGTCCTAGCTCCTACCATTTACAAGTATTTCTTGAAAAAACAGACTCACAGACAGACATGCACAAATATATTGTAGATGAGATAAATTCCAGAGGATTGTTGAAGACCTATTAGATTACTTTAGCATTTAATGTGTATGGTATTTTTATTAACCACTTGTAAACCACTTATGGAGAGACATTCTGTTAAAAACATTGTGTGCATCAGTGGCCACTGTCAGAAGACTGGATAATGGGCTAGATGGACCTTTGATCTGACCCACTATGGTCATTCTTATGTTCTTAATGGCTTCCATCCAGGGGTATGTTTATCCCTGGAGCCCACAGGGAATACATAAACTCATCTAGATACAGTATCTGCCTAGTTTTACAACAGGCTACATAAAAAGAACTTGCAAATCAGTACAAACAAAATTTTATATGGACAGGATGAGAAAGTAAGCAATTTGTCAGTAATAAATGCCGTGGCCCTTGTATTTTCATGTCTGATTTTGTAAGCAAGTAGTTTTAAAGTGAAGTGAAATCTGACTCTTGAAAGGAGTACAGTAATCTGGAAGGGTTGAGAACTGCTGATGTATATTACATTAAATTGTGTGAATTACTAGTGTGGTATAAAAATATGTAAGGATTTACCTGTTTTTGTTTTTTGTTTCTCTACAGTTACATTTTTGAAAGCTGCAGTGCCACAGAAAACATTAGATCAGATCCAGTTTTTAGAGGAGAAAACCCAGATTTTTCAATCTAATGTCACCACACTAAGTCCAGAAAATCATCAGTGGAGATTTTTAGTAAGTTCTCTTTGGTTGTTCTGTTGTATTACTTTAGCTGAATGGTGAATTTAGAGACAAGTTTTGTTTTGTAGTCCAGAACTTCATACCAAAGGCTATGTTACTAAATTTGGCCTACTTCATTACTACTGTTACTCTTTTGAGTGTATAGATACTTTGATTTTGCATATCTCAAGTTTCAAAAAAGAGTATTAAAATACTGCAATACAATAGTGACATCAGAAAAAATAATAGCAAGACACATTAATAAATATGGAAGGTGAATGTATTGTTGATAAACCAAGTTGTGATGCGTTGTGTTGGGCAGAAAATCATAGGACCAGAACCTTAGTTGGTGTATAACTCAGCATAGTTCTGCCAATTTATTACCAGCTGAGGATCCATCTAGCCCACAGATGACAATGAGATTATCTGGTTATAATTCAGAGGAGAAGTAAAGGATTTATAAATTTTGTGTTTGGCATAAATATACAGATTACAAAATGTTCTGTCAGTACAGGTTGAACCACTCTAGTCCAGTACCCTGGAGGCTTGACTAGTCCCGAATCAGAAATTTTGCCAAGTCATGGGAGATTGAAATTGTCTAGCACCGTGGTCATCAACCGGTAGATCGCGATCTACCAGTCGATTGCAGGGGCTCTGTGAGTCGATCTTTGGCTCCTTCTGGACAGCGTGCCTGCGCACAACTAATTTTGAATTGGCACTCTTTGCAGAGCAGCTGCTCATGGAGCAGCAACACAGGTGAGTAGCTGTGGTGGAATCTGTTAGGTAGGGAGGGCTGAAACACTCCGGCCAGCTGGCTGTGGGGGAGGAGGCTGCACTGCGCTCCAGCTAATCAGGCTGCTTTCCCTCTGTTCCAGCCCACGTGCACCCCGGGCTGAGCGCCATGGCCAGTCAGCCACTCCTCTTTGCTCCAGCCTAGCTTCACCATGCTCAGTCCTGGGAGGCTGTTCCTCACTCCAGCTGGGCTGGAGCCAAGAGGAAGGGCTTCCAGATCAGCAGGAGCACAACGCAGCCTCCCCAGGCTGAGCACAGGGCAGTTGGGCTGGAGCAAAGAGGAGCAGCTGCCTGGCCAGCTGACCATGGTGTTCAGTCCAGGTGCACCCTTCTCTGTGGGAGGGGGGAGTCGGGGCGTCCCTGCTTTGCGGAGTCGGGGAAAGGAGTCCTGGGACGAGGCGGGTGCATGGGACTCTCTGCTCCCACTGGCACCCTGTCCACTGCTGCAGAACCCTGCCTCGTGCC